AGACCTTTCATTTGTTGGCGCACCGCTCGCAACAAATGCTCATTGATTGGAGTGGGAGCTGGCTAAAGCAAACTACTGCTGTTGTTAAGATGGGGCACCAACCGCCAGCACGTGCCGCGGAGGCTGTCCCCAATCGAAGGTCGCCGATCTAGGAAAAATAAGTGAAGGGTGCCGTATGGATTATCGAATGTAGCTACAAAGGTGCGCATAAGGGTTATTTGTAACTATTTGCAAGGGTGTATGCTTTCCAAAAGCCCGCATTCCGAGAAGCAGATAATGCTGTTCAGAAGATGCACTTTCACTGTTAACACATGTTTCGACGTAAACTACAAAACCGAAACATTGTGAGCGGTATTATCCAAGTCCACGGTGATATGGGTTTGGCCAGATTCATGTGACCCGGTTGCCGTGCACACCCTTACTTCAAGCTTATCTGACCTGAAAAGCTTGACCGTGAAACCCCACGTGGAAACCTTTGAATGTTTGGTCAGTTATGCTGCACGCTACTTGTAATGTGCATGACATACGTATGCATCAGCAGATGTGCAGTTTTTGGCACAATTCACACGACAGCGACAAACATCATCTGCTGGAAACAGGTTAAGTGTAAGGAAATGTCCCACGTTTGCATGGGGTTTTCAACTAAGATGAGCATTTTTAAGATCATTTTCTGCAGGCATCATTCCGTCTGGGTTCTGAGTGAGGCGCTCGCAAATTTGTGAAGATCAGTTCGTGTCGCATATTTCAAAGCTATCCAGGTATTATGACGTCATAGAAACGTCACATGAATCTGCCCACCTCCATGGACAGACTGAGTTCAGGGTCACTTGGATGAGCCACCGCATCGGCAGACAATACTGGGTAAAAAGACTTTCACATTTCTATCGGGCTTTGAACTGAAATAACAAGCATGAGAATCATTCGGCGCAATTCACAATCTGGCCGTTCTTAAGACCCAAAACCTTCTAGTTTCTAAGCTATAGGCCCGTGAAGATTGAGAGACTATTGTGGGAGAGTATTTCAGGGTCACTTTTCCTGCCGTCATGTCAACATCATTGAAATCATGGATTTCCATAAGTCAGGCGACGATCAAGGCCAATACAAATGAGAGCACGATTTCCAAACATAACGGCCGTCAGCTGGCTCTCAATCAATGTTGTGCTAGGCGCAATGACATTTTCACACAGTGGCGTATCGAGAAGCATGTGTATTAAACGGAGAAACTGCATCGTTTGGAAAAGTCTTTTTTCACCTCAGGGTGAACCACTACTAAGAAAGCAAGCTTTTCTATCATATCTGATTCTTGCCTCAAAATCTTCAAATTTCCAGCATTTCTTTTAATAAGAGCGCCGTAACTGATAATGCGAATGGAAAAAACACATGGCATTGAAGAAAATACACGAAAACGCCACAAAAAAACGCGCTGCTGATAAGATAAATTCATATAAGCGTTATGTGGCTATTCTGCTCCGCACAGACACCAATGCTATCTTGCGGTGCTCGAAGTATCATGTAAGTCCACGTCCGCTAGTGGTAATTCTGGCACGGCCAATCTGGCAACGACTCTGATGCCTTTGCAAAACTCCATGAAGTGATCAAACGGTATAGTATTGGGGGGAAAATTCAATAAAATTTCATATTTTAGTGGTCTACTTAAAAGTGTACCATAAGTTATAATTGAGCTTATTCTATCTTGCCTGATACTTGTCTCGCCATCAAATGCGCAACACTCCCTTTAAAGTGCGTGATAAGGTATCATGCTCTGACTAAGTTAAAGGGCTACGATATAAGTATAAATAACGCGGAGTTGGGCACTGTTAGTTACGTTAGATTAGTTGTAAAATGAAGACACAGCGGTTTTGGACGCATCTGCCCTTGTGCGTTGTGCTAGCAACCTCCAAGGAGTAAAATGGGAAGCACAAGGTAGGGAAGAAGGCTACATAATGCGATCCCTGTATTCAGCGGGTGATGAAATGCAATGTGTTCCGTTTTGAATGATTCCCTTTCGACATCCACGGTCAGCATAGTGGCCCCGCCGTCAGTGATATCTGTCTCCCCATGCCCAGGGTAAATTACAACGTCCAGCTTTAACCACGACGTCTACCGACCACAATTCACAGTGCGTATCTCATTCTCAGGAAGCTTGGGCGTTACTCAACCAACCACCTATTTAAAGCAAATGCAGCTCGCCCCTCCCCCCACTTCCCTTCTACTATTTTCGTCCGGTTTTACAGCACCGCCGTCCTCTATCCACGGCTAACACCACTTGCAGTTCGTCTGAGCGCCGTCCGGCGGCGCTGTCGGCAGGCTCCTGCGCCTGATGCAGACGGGCACACTGTCCCGGCTGAAGCGACGCTGGCTTCGCGGCAGCCGGCAGCTCTGCCCAGACCAGCGGCTAGCCGTCCGGCCCCTGACGCTGGCCGACATGCTGGCCGTGATCGTCATTGTGCCGCTGGCAGCGATCGGCGCTGGTCTGGTGTTGGCCGGGGAGCTGCTGGCCAGCCGCCTGAGATGGCGAGCCCGACGAAATTACCTGTTACCGCTGGTCGATGATGATGGACTGCTAAGCAGCTCAAAAGAACTGAAAATGTAAAGTGGAGTAATGCTCGGTGCTGTAGTGTGCAACTCGAGGTCGCTCAGACTACCCGTTTGAAGGTTTCAGACGCATGGGCGGGGTGAGATGCCGCCTGAACGGTACCTCGGCCGTGCGGCACGCGCGGTGGCACCGCCTTTTTTCCTCGGCGCACCTCCACACCGAGGGCCTGGGACTGCCGTGATAATAAATGCAAATCAGATACCCTCAACTGGCCTTTCAACCCACACCTACGGCTCCGATTCTCCGCTACGACAGCGCGTGGTGTTCACCATTTAGCACACCCGTCTCTGATTTGTACTTGTACGCCAGAGACGGGTGTGCAGTCATACGCCAGAGAAGAGTGCGCTGAACGCATAATTGTGTCCATAATTCGCACATAACAGTGTCCATAATTCGGACATGACTGTGTCCATAATTCTCACCCATATATGAGACATCGTAGTCATCATGATGATGTGGGCTTCAAGATTCGAAGACCCGCTATTTCGCGTTAGATGCTTAAACATGTCACATCTAACTGTCATATATAAGGCACGAACCGGCTGTGATTTGTAGGTGGAAAGTTATTTTCATCACTCCTAATCGTTTCAGCGGTCACTTCGCAACGGAAGGTCTAATCACAAACTTTCATACTTTTGTTTTCTCCCATTTTTTTCTGTAAGTCCCGTTCTTCTGTCCAGGAAGGCGCCTGTAAGGCCAGCTGAGCCGGATGTAAAAATCCATCAACTGCCACTGTTCACGTCATCGCTGGAGACCGCCGATAAGGGCAAAGGACGTCATAGCCACACCGCCGGGACGTGGTCCAGGATGGCATCTCTGGTTCCCGAGGGTGGCCGTCTCCAGTTCTGCATGACCGGACGTCTCCTCTGGCGACGTCCGAGTGTCCGCCAGCCTCTGAAACATCTTCAAGGTCGTGGTGATGTCGCAGCGCCATGTACCCGGCTGGCTGAGTCGGAGCCGCCTGCCCTCCCACGCGGCGAATAATGCTCTCGTATTTCCAAAAAGTGCCTTTTACGCGAATAGGAAGTGTCCAAAATAAATTTGGTAGGCTTCTGGGCGATGAGAGCATGCTGGATGATAAACATATAGAGCTCAAACAATCGCGTAAGCCAATCGGAGCAACGACCAGAACCGGTGGAGTCCATGGGCGATAGAATGGTCCGCACAATCATTCATAGGCCTCGACGACAATGTAGAGCCATCCGAGGTATTTGCGAGGTGGGGCAAAGTTATATCGTTGCCAGCATGTTAAGCGTGACAAACATAGGTGGAATCATGCAAAATTTGAGTGCTTTATTGTTGCCTTCTATTCTTTCTTACTTTGTAGGCCCCAATCACCTATCGTCTATCTATCCATCTATCACCTATCTAAATCGTCCCAATGGTCTCGTATCCTGCACAAGTACAAGCATTTTTGAATTTCAGACTTCCCCATCATCCACTGTCTACTGAAAAGCATAGGTTCACAGTGTGATAGCTACCGTGATCGTTAACACGGCTATTTTTATTTCCATTGGTAGAAGAGAATATATTTCAGGTGCCGAGCCGCCCTTGGGAACTTCTCTCAGCCTAGTTGTAAAGAGCACACCATACACCGACGAAACCACGTTGCCACGATCTCAACTCGGCAGACGTTGAAGGTGCCAATTTTCACAGCGTGGTATGGAATTCAAGGTGGAACTGGGCCTTCCAAGAAGTGTTTTGTGCAGGATGCGTGGAACGAGCAAGATGCACCCAATGGCCGTTTCTCAACCCGCCAACAAATTCTGAACTCGTGACATGTGTCGAATTTTACGCATCATCTTTGCCAAAACGCTTCCACACCAGATGTACTGCAGTGCGGCACTCATCCCTCATTAGGCCCGTGCTGGGACCAAAGCTGTCGGATCGCCGTTTCTCAGCAAACTCAGGAAAACAGGGAATGCCAAATGAATCGGAAATTTGTTACAGCCTGCCATGCAGTTGTACTTTTAATTATTTTTGGGAATCCCATCCCTATCAACGATAAGCAGTAACGCAGAAGCACTGCGTGAGCCATCAGTGCCAGCAGGTCTGCCGGATGCCAGCGGTCTATCTCATTATCTGATCTGGTACAGCCCCACTGTCTTCGGGTACCTTCATCATTACTTGGCCGACGGCGACACACCTTAGGTGAAACCTAACACCTGGCGAAACTCTCGCGCTGATTAACCGTTTTTGATAACACAAACACTGAAATCCAAAGAAGGCATCGGCATCAGTTGGGGAAGGCGTGTTTACTTTTTGGGTGCTCTTGCAAAATATGGCTGAAAAGGAAAAGGACGTGGCCATAAATCGTCACTCTTAGTTTTAGGTCCCAAAATTATTCCTTTTCGTTTTTTGTAGGCCCGGCAGGGCGGAATCACGCCAAAGAAGTAACTGAGATAAATTGCTTATTTAAAACAGTTCTCATGAAAAAGATATGTCTGCAATATGAGGACAAAACACTCAACTTTCCGAAGGCAGTGATGCAGAGTTCAAGTGTAGAGTTCTTGGTAAGCAGAAATATTGTATTTACGCAACGGCAACGCAGAAACGGCGCTAGGGAGTCCAGGCGGTGCGGTGCGCGCGGCGCTGGGGGGCCCGCCATCGAAGTTATTGAAATTCGAAGGTAGGAGCATGATTCTACCTGTTTTGAGATTATTTACGATATGTCCTGCCCTAAACACGACGAATGGTGTACAATGATTTTTTCTAACGTTAGGTAGGAAAGTACACCCTGACCCAAATATGACATATATAAGGGAGGTCAATGTTTTACCACATCAGGCATAGGCAAGACAAGTACAGTTATATGAATCTTGCTGAGTGTCTTATCTTGTGATGGCAAAAAGGCAGGTTATATTGTTTTCTTTGCATTTAATTTACCATGCTGCTAAGCATTCTAAATCATGTATTTTCCATCAACATCTGAAATTGGACAGCAACTGAAAACTGCTGTAACCATGATCTGGGAATCTCCCACATGACTGCACAGCTCTTGGCTCAATTACTGCCCAATATTCTAAGTTATTTTCTAAGCCTCGACACATTCATGTATTGTATTGAAATGGAAACATACAAATGATTCACCAATCAAAAATCCTTCTGCCTGCAATAGCATTTAAAGGCAGCTATTTATATGGAATGCCACAGACAAGGCATGGTTAAGTCATTCCCTTAATTATTTTTTTCCTGTTTGGATGTATGGACCAGACTATGCATCACACAGTTGAACAGGCAGTTGTATGCATGAACCAGACAATGCATCAGGCATAAATGCACCATGTAAAAGGTTTGTGGGCATTCCTTTTTGTTAAGATTGTTTTGTGATGTTGATCAGTATGCCCAATATGAAGTAACAGATGTCAGACATAGTTCACGTTTGTATTTTGAGCCCAGGTGTTTTTCTTTTCTTTTCATTGACCCATTTTTTATTTCATTGACACATTTTTCTTTCATTACCATGTTTATCAGCTGACAATCAACACATGTAGACAGATTGGTGCTCAGAGGTATAGGCATGCCACTTCAGAGAGACGACCACCCCTAGTCAGCATGATGCTTCGGAGAAAGGACCACCCCTAGTCAGCATGATAATGCTATTATTGCTAATAATGTTTCTGCTTTCTGCTCTCTGCCAGGCAATGTGGCAGCTGTGCTCACAGTATGAGAAGGATAATTTTTCTGTGTAACTCTCATTGGCACCTGCAGATGCTCCCTGCTAGGCTCGCTGACAGCATGCTCCTTTGACCCACAAATGTGCTGCCCTTCAGTCTGATACACACCAAGTCAAATTTCTGACCACCCTCACAAATGCACAATCAGACTGCTGACTGGTTGCCCACCACACCATTCTGGTCAGGCTCCACCTGTTTTGGGCTTACATAGGTACCCCTCAACCAGTTCCCATGGGTCATGAATGGGGATGAGGTGACCAATGTGCTCTGCTGGGGGCCATTTGCAGCATTGTCACAGCTGTCTTCATTTTCAGACAGAAGAATGTCTTCATCACACCAGTCAAGTGCTGAGGAGGATGATGTGTACATTGCTGGTTTGGACTGTGAAGATGATCCACTGTATATTGGAGAACCACTGGCAGTTGGACAAGGTATGGATCTTTCATTGTCATTTGGATTTTACAATGCACTCAACTATGGTGGCCATATGTCATTGCCTGCTATGGACTGCCTGCATGCCTATGCCTATGGGAGATATGGGTCTTTAGGGTATTGTATGTTGGGAGACAGGACCTTTTTTGTGCCTCAGCAGTGAGTAAGGATGTGAGGTCTTCTTCCTACCATGTGATCATGCACATTCCTTAGTGGTGCCTATCTTGACACATTTGACACCCCAAATGTGATTTGTGGTGTCAAAATGGACCTGAAATATTTGTGATCTGGTGCTCAAAAGGGTCCAAACATCTTTTTCTTGATTCCTCATAAACTTTCAACTTCTTAACTGTTACTCTGTTTATACATTGGTGTGATTTGTTCCACCAGATGTTTCATGTCTCCCCAGCAGCAAAGTCTAAGTAGACTGGAAGTTCTTGAGACTAGCTCACTCCTATACTTTACAGAAGCGGTGTACTCTCTCCGCTGTGGTGGGAATGACAGTGGGGTATTTGCGAACACCTACGACAGCGATTGTTCGAGTCCTACTGCGTTCATACTGCCAGGTGAGGCTTCCAGAAAAAAACTTTGATATTTTGGCTTGTTATATCTTTTCAGACCAAGAAATTATTACCAATTCAAAGTTGTCCCGACATTGACTGACTGATGTGCATTTTTCACGTTCTCACTGCGAAGTTTCTGGGATCCCCAAATTTATCGTCTTGTATGGTGCTTAACTTGATTTATTTAACTTGAAAGCTTTCTCGTGCAGATCGCAGATTTGCACGAACGTTTTCCCGCTTACGTCAAGTAATACATATATTTTGATGAATTGGGCATCGCATTCTGTATCCACGCATTGAATGGTACCATGGCCTTTCAACTCATCAGTTTAAGTAAGGGTCGTTTATGCTGTATGGGCTGTTGAATATGCTGTCAGCTCATTGTTGCTTGCGGTAATGCCGCGGCATTCGTGCTGACTGACTTCTTTCTTTGCAGACGATCCCCCGGATGTTAAACCCGACCTGATAACACTCACAGATGAGGAGGAACCAACGGAAGGGACGATGACTTCAGCTCGTTTGCTCGGTAGGTTACCAGCTGCCGTTTTTAGTACTAATCAGTTTACTTGCAATGACAGCAAACGATAGGGGTACTGGTAGTAAAGTAGTTGATGCGTCTGAGGTAACCAGCACTGTGCGTCTGGTAAACCAGAGGTCAGGGGCTCGATTCCCCGCTGTGCCCGTCCTTCCCGCCAGAGTGAGAGGCAGGCGACGTCATATAGCCTCAGCAGCTGAGTGCGTTGTAAAGCCGCAATGACAGCAACAACAATGACAGTAAGCGATCCCCAAAGTACCGAAATATATAGAATATACGCCATAGCATTCTCCGTGCTCAGGGTGACCGGTGTGTCTCCAAGCAGAGCAGGGGTGCGAAAAATGTACAAAAATAAGGAGGGGGCCGTCCATAAATTGCGCACGGAGGGGAGAGGGGCTCATGGGGTGCAACCGAGGTGCAGCAAAGGGCAGGGGTTTTAGACGGCGTAACCTTAGAGGAGCGTATGGTCGGTTGTCGTAAATCTGAGAAGTATCAGGGCGATTTACGACGACGCCCTGTATCTAGCGGTACACCTGCGGCGCATGCGCAGTTGCGTCCTGGGGTGAGCGCGACACAAAGGTCTGTAGGTATCTATGTTAACAACAGTCCTTTCCCACTCAGGGCCACATAGGTTTTGTGGGACACTGTATTTGCACAGTGGGTCCAGCCCAGCTACTAACTTTGAGTCAAGGTAATCCGGAATTACGTTTCGGCAACTTCCACATCGATTCCGGCAGTCCGTTATAAACACATTTTAGCATAATTCATGTAGGCCGGCTCATGACGACAAGGCCTTGTTCGCTTGCAGTGTCGAGTATAGTGCGTGAGGATACGCTTACAGATCCTTAGTTTAACTGGATTCAGCAGTCCCATCGAATTTAGTTGAGTTGGCCAGTGTGTCGGGCCATACCAACCTAGGCCGCGTTTCATTTCACCTACTATGTTTTTGGTAGACAAACACATGCCCCGCCCACTCGAATGCTGGACTGTTTCATACCAGCTACTGACTACTGCAAAGCTTTACATTACCCGCGCATCTGTGCCATTATTAGCGTCATTAGCAGTCACCTATCATCAAGTTGCAGCTTTAAAAAAAAAAATTATGTCCCACTTAATCCCTAGCAGCCTGCATATTAACTAAAACAGCCAAAGCACTAACATGCTGTTGCCTGCGCTGTACGCCGCCGTGTCATGGACGCCCCACAGACCACCGAGATGTTAAAACGTTTTGCGAGCCCAGTAGTCGACAAGTATGATGCCACACCCCCCGCGTCACGAATCCATCATGGCCGCCCGACCAATCATAGAACAGGATTTCGACTATTGGTAGCACGATAGTTACGATGAAACGCGGCCCTACATTGCATGCTTTGGGGAGCTATCGTCCGATCCAGCGCAGCCCACTCAGGACCACGATTCCGTGCGTTTATGCAATCCCTGATGAACTCGAATGGCTGTGTTTCTAATTTACGCGCCGTGTTTTCAGGTGCTGCATGCCATCCTGGCAGCGGGAAAGGTCAGTGTTTAGAAGAAGACCCACTGGCGCAAAACGCGGAAGCTCACCGCCAACAACCTGCCGTGAATGTCCGCCCTTTTCTGCAGCCGCGCCTTGGACGGGCAGAAAGGCGGCGAACCGCGCGGACAGCTGAATGCTCGTCCCATTCAGATACGGACAGAGATACTGCTGGCTCTGGTATTAGCAGCGCGCCGTCCGACGAAGAAATGGCAATGTCCATGCATGCTTTTCACTTGATCACAAAGATGTTCATCTGCGGGTTTTGTGGCCAATCTTTCCGGGAAAGGGAGACGCTGATCAAGCACGCCGCGCGCCACGGTAGTGAGAAATCCTTGTGCAGCGTGTGCGGGGAGACGTCAAATGAAAGGCATACCAGAAGCACTGATGGCTATGATCGCAATGATGGAGAACCGTTTATTTGCGAAGCGTGTGAAAAGCCTTCCAGCGGAGCTGGTTCATTGGTAAGGGACTCTTTAGTCACAACCGGCGTAGGAATGTTCCAATGCGGTTCTTGTGGAAAATCTTTTTCGCAAAAAGGGAATCTGGATGTTCATGCACGCACTCACACTGAAAATAAGCGGTTTAGTTGCGGAGTTTGTGGAAAGTCGTTTTCTCGAAAGTCGGCGGTGAAGGCGCATACGCTTTGTCACGCTGCTGAGAAGCCGTTCAAGTGCAGTATGTGCGGCAGGACGTTTAGTGAAAAGAAGAATTTGGCGTGTCACGCGCTGACCCACAAAGCTGACCAACCAGCCGCTTGTGATGTATGTGGCAAGTCCTTTTATCGAAGGAGTCTTCTGAAATCGCACGTCATCGTCCATTCCGGGGAGAAGCCGTTCAGCTGCGACGTGTGCGGCAAGTCGTTTTCTCGCAAGCCGCACCTGCGTGTTCACGCGCGCACCCACACCGAGGAGAGACCGTTCCGCTGCGTAGAGTGCGGCAAGGCGTTCCGGCGAAAGGATCATCTCACGGATCACGCCGTGATTCACACTGGCGTGAGACCGTTCAGCTGCGGCGTGTGTGGAAAGTCGTTTTGTCGGAAAGGTGACGTGCGTGCCCACGCGTTTACTCACCTCGGAGACAAGAATAGATCAGTCGTGGAATATGCGGCAAACTTTGCCACGGGAAAGGCATGAAAGGAAGTGGAATCTACGAGAGCGAATTACGTAAAAGCTGTTTCGTGTTGTAAGAACGGTAGTGTAGCGAAGCATGTTCCGTTGATCCGTGTGGGATATTGTCCAAATGCCTGTAGCGGCCCGCAGAGTCGGGGTCACCTTGAAGCTTATATACTCCGCGCAGCGTTGATGTACAGATACAAAGCACTTGCGATAGGAACGTATCATTATCAAATCTCCCCAGGTGTGTCCTTACTCATAGTGAATACTCCGTCGGTTGGCGATGTGAGTCGGAAGTCCAAAGATTCTGCTCGGTCGTGAAGTGTAGGAAACCGTTCAGTTGTGAAGTGCGAGATGCCGTTCAGTTATGAACTGTGATAAACCGTTCAGTTATGAAGTGCGAGATACCGTTCAGTTGTGAAGTGTGGGATACCGTTTAGTTGTGAACTGTGAGAAACCGTTCAGTGAGCCGTGTCATTTGCGCATGTTCAGGCCAGCGGAAGGCTGTCGATCTCTAATGTTAGTGAGAATGACACAAGAACACGACGAGAATGGCGCGACCGTCGACGTGAGGACCTAGCTGTGCGATGCAGCTTTGTAACCGCAGCATGGTTGTTCGACTCGGTGCACACCTGTGGTATTTCTTCTTGTATTGCATTGTTCTTGCTCAAATGCTGCGCTGCCGTAGTCCTTGCAGTGCGGCAGACTAGTCTAAACGGCATTGTTGTCCTGAACTCTATGTATTGGACCTGCTCGCGGATGTTCTCAAAAGATCGTTTAACACGCGCCCGGGTGGCCGGCTGGATACGCCTCGCTCGGGTGGGGGTCAATTTGACCGCCCTGAGATCTCGGAACTAAGAGAGCTAGAGACACCAAATTTTGCAGGGTGTGTTGACCTGGACGTGAACTCACTTAGATCAAGTTTTAAAGTTTTTAGGTCATGACCTCCGGGTCAAATAAAGTCAAACAAGGTAAAGTTCCAGGTTGGTCTCTTTAGTGCCCTAGAACCCAGACAACTGTTTCTAAGCATAAGTTCAGTTGCTCTTTTAAGGTCAGTGACCTTGTCTGACCTTTTGAAGGTCATGGTGGCCAAAATCATACAAGATTGCTCTGAGTTTTTCATTTGAATAAGCGGCAAAAATTGTTCTAGGCAGTATGTCCCTAGAAAGAAAATGCTGACCAGGGCTTTTTAGGTCAATGACCTATAATGACCTGTAAGGATTCCATGAAAGTTGTATATTGCGGTTCTTGCTATCAATAGATTCGGAATCAGCACCAGAAACTACTACATATAGCAAGCCTTAGAGTAACAAAGGCTGGTTTTGACCTTGATTTGACCTCATGCCTGACCTTAGGTCAACGTAGTTTGCTCATCCGATATTTGTGTTGCCTAAGAGTGCATCTCAGAGATGTACGGCTTTGCCTAACACTCCGCTGTTGCATCAGATGAGCGATTCCCTAGAAATTGACTTCGCTGAAACCATGATCTGACTGACCCGTCAAAGGTCAGTGACCTTCGAGGTACATCTAAATTTTTTGTATCAAACGACTCCCCATTCAATTGTCTACAGACATGCAAAATTTAGCACGGCTACGCCGCGCCGTTCGCAAACCACTCTGGAAAAACCTTTTAGGAGGGAGGCGGGGGTCAATTTGACCCTATCCGAGCGCGTTTTAATAATTATTTCATTTTAAGGGCGCGTCTACTGCAATGGGGGTTCGTGCTAACTTTCGGAAGATCAGGGCATTGACAATACATGCCAGCGGGCAGCGCATATTAGTGTCTGGACAGAAACCAAGACAAAATAGGTGGCACCGCCGCGCTTAACCACACCTGACTTGTCGCCCATTGAGCACGGGTCGGGAGGAGACCGTCTTGGAGGCCAAAGCGGCGTGGTTCGGTGGCTCGGAATGGCCGCGTCAAAAAAAGACAACAGTCACTTATCCGCCCGCGGGCCAAATGCACTCGTCTGCCCCAATCCTGACGTTGGAACTAAACAGCGGATCCGGTAAAGTTCGCGGAAGCTGGCCCTGGCGGGAGGCAAGCAGGATCAGAGTCTCCGAATGACTTGGTGCGATTAGTGTGAAAAGCGAAGCAGGCTGCCGAACCTCCTGGGCGCGGCCGACAGAGGCTCACCATGTATTCATGGGGCGCGCGGAGGCCTGGGCAGGGCTGCGTGGCGCGCTTGCGGTGCCGGTGCGACCGCTGCGTTTAAGGCGAACACCCGCCAGCATTGGATGTACGGAAAACTCCACACGTCCAATGGGTGTACGGAGACCTTCACACCTCCAATGGATGTACGGAGACCTCACACCTCCAATGGATGTACGGGGACCACACCTCCAATGGATGTCCGGGACCTCCACACGTCCAATGGATGTACGGAGACCTCCACACCTCCAATGGATGTACGGAAAACACAACACCTCCAGTGGATGTACGGAGACCACCACACCTTCACTGGATGTACGGAAAACTTCACACCATTACGGAGACATCCACACCTCTAAAATGCATATACGGATACTTTCACACCTCCAATTGATGTACGGAGACTTTCACACCTCCAACTGATGTACGGAGACCCCATACCTCCAATGGATGTACGGAGACTTCCACACCTCCAATGGATATACGGAGAACTCCACACCTCCGATGGATGTACGGAGACTTCCACACCTTAAATGGATGTACGGTTAACTCCACACCTCCAATGGATGTATGGAGACCGCACCTTCAATGGATGTACGGAGACCTCACACCTCCAATGGATGTACGGGGACCTCCACACCTCCAACGGATGTACGGAGACCTCCACACCTCCAATGGATGTATGGGAAACTCTACACGCCCGATGAATGTACGGAGACCTCCACACGTTTAATGGACGTGCGGATAACTCCGCATGTGCAATGGATGTACGGAGATCTCCATGCGTCCAATGCTTGCTGCGGCTAGAGCGACTAATGCGCCGCTTCAAAGATAAGTTGGGGCCATTGCGGTGCACGACAGGAAAGCTTTCGCTTTCGTCTTAAGGCGGAGACCCAATATACGCCTGGGTGACAGCTCACAAGGAGATGCGCACGCCGCGTATCTCGCACATGTGGGTCCACGTGGGGCTCACCACGCAGTCTCGAGTCGAGCAGGCCACACAGGTGCTCGCTATGCCGCACAGGTGCTCGGTATGCCACACAGGTGCTCGGTATGCCACACAGGTGCTCGGTATGCCACACAGGTGCTCGGTGTGCCACACAGGTGCTCGCTATGCCACACGGGTGCTCGCTATGCCACACAGGTGCTGGGTATGCCACACAGGTGCTCCGTATGGGCACGTAAGACTGATTGGTGCCCGCTCAGCCGCCATTTCGGCGCCTCTTGCAGCAGTCCGCCTCCGAAAACAAAGCGCGGCCTTCTGGTGGGCGCCGGATATGGCGTCTCCGCCACCGAGACCAGCGAGGTGGGCCGATGATGTCGTCCGAGTTAGGGAATCGCATCGTTATGTGAAGTAAACTGCGCACGCGTAATTTCAGCATTTATTATGTTCACCTGTAACGTATAGCGTCTCTCACCAATAACCACGTTATCACGTGTAAAATGTAACAAAACGAGTCACGAGAGCGTACATTTAGCATTTACGAATGCTCGCGTGCACCGCGTGGGCTATTCGTAACGTGCGCCGGGCCTTTCCAACGTCGGACTGGGGCTGCCTCGGGGGGCGTCGGCCTGCTGCCTCTGCCGCGCGTCCGACTGACCGCCTTCCAGCGGCAGCTGTCACAGCGGGGAGCCGGCTGCTGGTGGTGGTCGTCCGCGCCCCCTCACGCCGGCTGTTGTGACTGTTCGAAACTGGCGACTCGTTGATTGAAATTGCTTTTACCTGTACGTATATGTGCATATGTGTATGCTCTCCCCTAGAGCTGTGCGTTTCATTTGTACAGCTGAGGCTGGACGGCCACCACGTGAAGGCGCATGCAACAAAAACATGAAATGGAGTGAAAGTATAAAAATTCTGCCTGGTGTGATCCCTCAGCCTAGAGCAGTACACACATGAACACACACCTCCGACAGCTTCCGGTCGGTCCTGTCCCGCCCGATGTTTCACCCGTAAATCTGCGCAAGTTTGGCCTGCAGCGGTGAAGGGTTGAGGGCTACCGCTGTGTACTACATGACCGGTGTGTATCACGTATCGCCGCCGCCGCAGGAAATCCGTCTTCTTCGATGATTACATGACTGTCGACCCGAATCGGAGCCCCATAGGTTTCTGCAAGCTTTTTGGTGACGTTGTTTGTGAACGATATCCGTCCTTTGCCGCGACATGTAAAAAGGCATGTGCATTACCACGTAATTTAAGACATAAAAATCGCGTATCGACGCGCTCTAAAACTTAACTACTTAAACTAGAAAGCTAGATTAAAACTACCTGAGCTAAAAACTAAACTGAAAAGTAAACTAAAAGTCAGCATGACGACTACGCCAGCTTGTACGGGGCGCTCGAAGTGCGACGGGAAAGCTGCACGCCTGAGGAACACGCAGTTCGATTTCCTGCGGTGCCCGCCCTCCCTGCCAGGGTGAGAAGCCGGTGGTGCCATATAGCCTCAGCAGTTCAGTGTTTCGTAGAACCCTGTTGACAAAAACAACGCCATCTAGCGGTTAATTCTAAAATTCGCGCAAAGAAAGTGTCATGAATGGTAAAGACGATACGCCGAACCGAACGTTCATGCATCGGATCTATTGAGTCGTCTCATAGTCAGTGTGTGAATGTCGTCCTATCGTGGCTTCTGCGTCGCCGATCATTACTTCGAGGTGGTGCGACGCCGCACCGCTGCCGACGGTGGACCCGGACGTTGACCCAGCCGATGACCCCGCCACGGCCGGCGACTCAGGCGGCTGGTCAGCAGCTCCCCGGCCAGCACGAGACCAGCTCCGATCGCGGCCAGCGGCACAATGATGACCACGACCAGCATGTCGGCCAGCGTCAGAGACCGGACGGCTGGCTGCTGGTCCGGGCAGAGCTGCCGGCTACCGCGGAGCCAGCGTCGCTTCAGCTGCGACAGGACGCCCGTCTGCATCAGGCGCAGGAGCCTGCCAACAGCGCCGTCGGACGGCGGTCATATGAACTGCAAGTGGTATTGGCCGTAGATAGAAGACAGTGGTGCGGTACCGCTTGATTGGGGAGAGGGTCGTTGAATATTGTTTTGATGGGCGATTGAGTAAAATAGCAGCTTCCTCAGAACGTAGTGTGCGGTGAGGACCACGGTGGGCTAACTTCATAGCTCAAGCTATAGGTTGGGCTTCAAGGGGTAGATGACTCTGCTTTCAAAATGTCGCCCTGTTGGCCCACAAATAACAGGGAGCACTCATTCGAAACGGAAGGAACTGACTCTCTAGACAGGAACTGGAACGAAACATATGTTCGCCGACACACTGATCAAAGCAACGCAGACAAGCAATACGCTTAGCAGTTCAACTGTACCATGCGTTGATTTGTGCAGGCACGATATCACCACTGCCGAACGATAACTAAGGACGGCGGCGGAAACAGCTCGCGAATTTCATGAGCCGACAATACAGATATATTTTTTAGGTGCTCCCATTTATTGGCTTCGCAGATACCAGCCAGCAAGGCACAGTGAAAATCAGTCTGAGAATGGATAATGTGGGACACAACAATTTTTTAGAGACGGTTTATTAACGTGTTGCAATAGTAACGAGTGATTTCCGAAAGCGGAAGATATGTTCCTGAGCCCAACAATCCAAGCCAAACCAAGCGTCAGCATCCCATTAAGTAGCGTCTGTAGGGAACTAAACTTTGCCTTCGACATAAGAGTGACGGGATACAGTTGTGCTGAATCGATTTCTTGTAAATGGAGGCGACGAAGCTCTTTTGAAGCAAACTGTGGCGGTGCACAACAAAATGCAACAAAAGCTGCAACCATTAATGAACGTGGCACTACTATAGAAGCACTATTGATTAACTTGGACCCACTGGGCATAAGTTATCAGAGCCGCTGGTCAGTAGAGTGTGCACCGCGGTGATGCCCAACAAGGTCTCCAGTCCTTCGGTCACATGCATTTGATCTAACAGCGAAACCCCTAACACAATGCTTGGAGGAGATGGCATATTGTTTCATGCTTACTGCCCGGAAGTCACGGGTTGGCTAATACATGCTCGGTCGGGGGTCAATTTGGGCGCCGGGAAGGTTTTTTTCTCGCGAATGTGCTCCGAATGGCGCGACACAGCCGCGCCAAATTTTGCATAGCTCTAGACAGTCGATTGGCGGATCGTTTGGTTTAGCAAAGTTGGATGTACCTGGGAAGGTCGCTGACCTACGGCAGGTCAAAGTCAGGTCATGGATTCAGCGAAGTCAGCTTCTAGGAAATCTTTCAATCTGATGCGATAACGGAGTGTTAGACAAGGCCATACATCCCTGAGATACTTTCTCAGGCAACATAAAAGCTGAGTGAACGAATTCCATTGAGACGTTGTCGGAGGTTATTGAGGTCAGATGTGAAGGTCTAATCAAGGTTAAAACCAACATGTTACATTACTCTGGGGCTTACTGTATGGGGTAGTTCCTGATGCTGATTTCGAACTTATTGATAAGAGGGACCGCATAACACATCTTCCATGGACTTCTGAAATGTCGGAATAGGTCACTGGCCTAAAATGACACAGGTCAGCATTTTGTTTTCGGGAACATACCACCTAGCCAGTCTTTGTCGCTTATTCAAATGCAAAGCTCAGGGCGGTCTTGGATGATTTTAGTTGCCATGACCTTCAAAAGGCCAAACAAGGTCACTAACTTTAACGGAGTATGCGATCTTTTGCCATGAAGAGGCATCAGGTTCTGTGGGCACTTAGGAAATCAACCTAGAAGTTGACATTGCTTGACTGGATTAGACCTTAAAGCCATGACTTGGGATTCTCAAGTTTTGACACGAGTGGGTTCACGAATAGATTAACACACCCTGTGAATTTGGTGCTTCTAGCCCTCTTAGCTCCTGAGATCTGAAGAGGGTCAAATTGTCTCCCATCCGAGCGAAGAGGATCCAACCGGCCACCCGAGCGCGTGCTAAGTCCGTGGTTGCACTCTTGTGATGGATAAGGGGATGGGTTAAATTCAAATTTTGGAGACTAATGGGCATTGATCAGGGTATGAATAACGTGTTTGTGATATGGGATATGCGAAAACGGAGTCTTAGACGAAACCATGTATCTTTGAGATAGTTTCTCATATCATCATACAGCTAGTAGGACTACGATCAACCCCTTTAACCTCGGTTCAGGTTTGCAGGTCAGGCCGAGGTAGAAACAAACTGCTTGTTTGGTAAATAACTTGTTTTGTGAGGTAGTTTTGATGCCAAGTGCGAGTTTCTAAATCACAGGGATATCAAAATGCATCTTACTTGACGTTCGTCAAAGTCAGAGGTCGCTGACCTAAAGTGACGGAGGTGTGTACCGATAGGGATGAAGGAGTATAGCGCAGTGCTTGACGCTTATGTACCTTCAAAAATAAAAACACAGGCCGTAGATAAGTCTGGCGATCGCAGCACTGCACAAATACTTGTGTGTGTGTGTGTGTGTGTGTGTGTGTGTGTGTGTGTGTGTGTGTGTGTGTGTGTGTGTGTGTGTGTGTGTGTGTGTGTGTGTGTGTGTGTGTGTGTGTGTGTGTGTGTGTGTGTGTGTATGTGTGTGTGGGGGGAGGATCCGTATCATATTGTCCAAGGCACAGAATGTCCAAAGGTACAGAATGTCCAAAGCACAGAATGTCCAAGGTACAGAATGTTCAAAGTTCATAATGTTCAAGGTACATAATGTCCAAGATGAGAAATAACTTCCAAAATGGCGCAGAGTGGAAGGGGCCCGTTTCACAATGCCCAATGTATAGAATGTCCAAGGTACAGAATGTCCAAAGTACTAAATGTCCAATGTACATATTGCCCAAGGTACAGAATGTACAAAGACCAAAGCTTCCAAACTAGTTCCTGCAGCGGCCGTCAGGGTATGAATAATCGCCCTTCTTGGCAGGCAGCGTGGCACCACCCAACGCCGGCCGCGCGCATGCAGTCGACACCATTACGAAGACCACGAGCGTGAGGCTGGCCGGCCAGATTACTAGCTTAGTAAAAGATCATGTCCGCTCCACGACGCAATGGAGCCGGCTGGAGGCGCCGCGCCAAGCATTAGTCGCTGATTGTCAAAGTTGAGCCCGGTATGGTTTGCCTGCATTTTGCTCTGCTAAAAAGCATTGAAAGCAGACGGAATATGAAATGGAGTTATAGCCGCGCTGTGCCCGAAAATATAATTGTTGAGATGGACACCAGCACTGGGCACTTCTGGATGCCGATCTTGACTGCTCGATCGTCAGCCTAGCGCAGACATCGTCAGCTCGGGTTAGTAAGTTCAAACAAGTTCAAATAACAAAGAAGTTCCAGTTAATAATCGCTCCCGGCATCATACACCAGCATTGTGGTTACTATGGGATGGATTTTCAGCAAAAGCGAGCTAACATCAAAAATGGCTCGTGGCCAGTAGTGAATATCGTTGAATGAGGGTGAATATTCTTCAATATGGTATTATAGAAACACCCTACATCCAGCACGTGAGGAAAGCTGATCGAAACACAGACGGTTAAATTTGAAGTAATAGATGACCATTACCAAGAATTAGGTCAAGGTGTTCAAGACAATGACTAAAGCGCCATTTCTAGATGGACTTCACGTGAAAAACGCTGCTCATGTGACGTCCCAAGATAATGCATGCTTACTTGCCTCGAAGAAAGTTGACGATTGTGCGCAACAATTTAAATATATGAATACTTGCCACCTGGCATTAAAATCTCTTCTTTACAGCTCCTGTTTCTCGTGCAATGCTGCATCTATCAAACTACGCACGCGATGCGATTACTTAATTCGGCATTAGGTATACTCAACGTGTTTACCTGTCATGTTTTCCTCGCAACGATGTGCGCACCTTCTGTATACGTGCGCCGCTGAGGTGTCCAATAAACCGGTCTGAAATCTTACGCTTTGTTTATCCCACCTGAACTGTCCCTGTACTTGAGTTCCTGGATATTCTATGTCTCACCCCATTTTTTTCATTTCATTTCAATCCGTTGGCGCATACATGAGGAGGTTTTACCGCCAACGGAACACTGGGGTTTCCTCCTGGAGCGGTCAACTAGAATGAAATTAGGATGAAGACTGCTAGTCATGCTAACCTAAGGTCATGTATATTGTTTGCGTAGGAACCCGTATTTACTGTTCCACATAGACATATAACATGTATATATGCATATAAATGTATATACATGCACATTTATGCATAGAATAAATAATTTAGGTATTGGAGCCCATGTTATACTGCGCAGCCCTTAGAAAACGAGGGCCAAAAAGACCTCAAAGAAATAAAGGCTAAAACTTAGCACTAGTTTGGCTAAAAAGCAAGGAATGTGATGTATATATCCCTTTCATCTTAAAATTTCATGACGGTTGTAGGGGACCCCAAACTTTAGGGGGCACCACAATGTTGCGTGCTCACCCCCCCCCCCTTCACGACATACTGGAACCGCCCCTGTTTGCAGCCATTCCGCTGTGCAATGGTAGCGCGGTACATCCCTGCTCTCATGTTACGCCATTCATGAAGACGTGCTCCACATATGAAGAACGCGTTCATTTCACCTTTTTACGGCTTCTTTTTGGACGTGATGAGGAATTGCATCGAGGAGGCGCAATGCAAGCGGCACCGGACGCCCGCTTTTACGGCCATATATGGTCATGGAAAACGAGGAGCACTTCCCATTTAATTCAGTTTCAAACACATTATGCTCACACGACTGAAGGCCAGAAAAAAACGTGCAACGCTCTGAATATTTGAGATTTCATGGCTGCTTGCTGTTTGGCCATGGGCGTGCCGACGCGAAGTGTAGTATAATCGGGACACCATGGGCTTGAAACGTATTGCTGTGGTTTAGGTCCCATCTAGCGGTACTACAAATAAGGTGTCGAGGAAGCAATCAACTTTACTGAGAGCTCTGTATAGATATGGCAGACATGTTGGGACAGCGTTTCTAATTTTAACA